TGCGCCTCTGCCTGCTCTTCGAAGATGAGAACGATGGCGTCTGCATATTCCAGATCGACAAGGTTGTCTTCACAGGCTATTTGAACACCAGGGTTTTGGAGACCCTCCAGTGTTCGTCTCATTAGTTCATCGATCACGACCACCGCACTCACACGGTGAGGGAAATCCAAAACGCGTTAAAAAAAAATCGTTCAGCTGCAGCACCCTTTCGGCGCTTAGCTGCCATTCCGGACGGAGGCACGAGGGGTGGGATACTGCCAGGTCGCCCAAGCCTAGACAGGGGAATTCGACAGGCAGAGGTCAGGTTCGAACCACGGACCTTCCGGTCAGTAAATTCGCGCTCCTACCACTTGGTCCATATCGCCCCAAAACGCGTTAAACGGCAGTTCGTTTAAATAATTCGAAAGATAGAGGCAGATTCTATGTTGTTTTAAAAGTGTCTGCACTCACATTCCCCTTTTGGCTTTTCTGTATTGCTGTACTGCAATGAAGCAGGAGCCTTCAGGATGGGACCGATTTTTCTAGAAATACAGCTGCAATGCGCAGTGAAGCCTTTTCGCAAAGGCCATGTATGAAAAGGCTCAGTGGTTGGATAATAAAAAACCATATAATTAAAAAGATCTATGCAACAAAAGGGGCGTCATTCGCAATATAAAAAATACAGACAGCTGAATATCTGAGTGACAGCGTTCACACACGCATCACTGCCGCTGAAGCGCGCCGAGCTATGCTCAGTGGCGTTGAAATCTGCTGCTTTGGATCAGTTTCTCCCGCCACATCCAGTGGTTCCTTGTGGATGGTCAGAACGGCATAACTGCCAGACGACTGGCCACGTGACACGTGTCCCGGATTGATGCACAGGACACCTTTGACATCCTATCAAGAGGAAAGAAAACTTAGTAACGGGGTAACAGCTCGTTTTTATCTGTATATTGTCGTTGGACAGTAAGTATCTTTATACACAACGGGTTTACAGTGAGATCTTTCGAGGAGACGACGATTTCATCATCATAACAACCGCGCGCCGGCTGCACCAGTGGTTCGGTGTAAGCCATATGCGCATAAGATTAACCGTTGAGTGCGTACAGTCAACCAACTGCAATAAAACTCTAATTAAACTGAATGAGCACCACTATCCACTGGCATTTTTCTACTTTGGTCAGTAAACCAGAAAACCCCATCAACAGCTTGATTTGATGTGCTAACCAATTTTCAAAAGTTGGCCT